CACAATTTCACTGTGACTCCTGGTTCACACCTGAACGCTTTGTAGCGCGTTCAACGCTCGACGAACGCTCTACAAAACGCTCAAACATCTAAATCCCATTAATATATACTGCGATGTGCCACCGCTCACGCAGAGCCTGACTTCTGAACTACAACTCAACATCTGAACAATGTAATATTATCACTGCTTGCTGCAAGCACTGTATCCATTTGCAACGGAAAATGGATACAGTGTTGGTGGATGGGCAGCACAGTGGCCTTCTGCCTTGCGGCACTAGGGAATTTGTTTTTCTTTCTCCCCCCCACCCCGTAACATAGTGTTATTAGCTGTTGTTCCTGCTAGTAGATCTGTTATGCTTCCATTTTCTATTGCAGGCCAAGCTGTCCAGCAAATGAGACAGGGCTTGGGGCAAACCATCCTTGGAATTTGGACTTTATTCTGGACTTGTCCACATAGCAGGCACAGGCATACATACTGCACACATGAAAGATCCCATAGAGTAGAGCAGAAAAAAAAAAAACCAGCATGTATGACTTTCTCCTAATGTAATGCAATGCAGCAGTGAGAAGCAAGTCCTATAAAAAAACATTAGAATGTATTTTGTGCAGGAATTTTTTTTTTGGTCCCCCCGTAACATAGTTTTATTTTTATTTTTTGTCACTCCAAACATAAATTCAGGTGAAGCGGATTACTTAGTGAATTGATAATGTGGTCCAACATATTGCCTATCATTCTGACCACATTAAATGTTGGGACTCTCACTGGAGTGATTGGAATGTGATTGAGGATCACTCACGATGAGACAGCCTATGTTCTATTTATCCTGGGGCTTCCTCTACAAGCTAACTTGCTGCACGCTCTTCACTTAGTGATCTGGTAAGTGGTCTTTTGGGCCACTATTTACTAGGTCACCAATATACCAAGTTAATTAAATGTCCAGAGAAGCAAGTAGTGGAGTCCAGTCTAATCAGATTTTCCATTGCTTTTACATCCCTATTATATTATTATTATTCAGGATTTATATAGCGCCAACAGTTTGCACAGCCCTTTACAATATAAAATCACACATATGGCCTGGTATCTCTATAGCAGTGGTTCTCAACCTGTGGGTCGCGACCCAAAAGTGGGTCGCAACCCACAGTTGAGGGGGTCCCCACGTGCCTTGTGCTGCTCTAGGTAAGAGGCTCCTCAGCCTCCTCCTAGCATGGCAGTGTCAGTTCTTCTAGATGGCGCTGCAGCATCAGCGACTGGAGAGGATCAGAGAGAGGGGAGCAGGCAGGAGTGAGGGGAGGTGAGTGATTGATCACCACAGAGCACACACTGAATGCCAATAGAGAGTCCCTCTAGCCATCTGAGAGCCCCCATAGCCTCCCGAGAGCCCACACAAATACTAGTATTGGTGCATTCCTACATTTTACGGTTGGGGGACAACTTGGCAAATGTTACCAAGGGGTCCCGGGCCTAGAAAGGTTGAGAACCACTGCTCATAGCAAAAGGACATTTAGCCCCCCACCATGGTGATCCTAGAACTATGCCCCTGAGCCGTCCCGAGGCCGGGTGTCTGGGCCATGGCCATGTCTATGAGCATTAGCGCCAAGAGGGGCACCTGAAAAATGATGGAGTAGCTCTCTCAAAGCACCAATGCCTTATGCTAATTCATGCCGATCTCTGCCGCAGCTTAGGTGACCAGGAGGTGGAGAAATTAGGAGGATGATATGATGTACTTGTCTCTGGATAAGGATTAGGTAAGCTGAGCAAATTGGTCAGGGTGCCCAGTACACAAAGGAGTTAAAAATAAATGATTGGTACTAAATGAATGTGAAGTTTATTAGACCCCCATTAGATAGAAAAGTGAAAAAGAGAAGAGCTATTCACTGCTCTGCTTCTTAATTCACTGTCCAGTCACTGGCTGGGGGAAGGTGCAGTCACAATTCACTTTCAAGTCACAGCCTGGGCACAGAGGAAATGGTTGGATGATGCTGGCCATCAGATTGAATATTTTACTGCACTATTTATTTTTATTTAGTTATTTTTGGCTGGAGTTCTGTTTTAACCTTTATAATAATAACAACATAATATCTCTTCACCAAAACTACAAACTAGCTTTCCTTGAGATAAAATAAAACATTTAAAAAAAATGATTAATTCCTTAGACATAAAAATAAAATACTTTGAATTTGCAGTGAAGCCAATGCTCTGTGTCATGGTCTTCATTCTCTGTGAATGGCCCCTCGCCATGAACATTATGAATCCTTCTTGGCTTATCTCCTTTATTCCCCGTACACCTAGAAAATATCACACTTCTAATTTGTTAGTCTGTTAGGGAGACCTGCGATCCTCCTGGGTTGATTCCTTTCTATTAAATCCTTCTGATTTCCACATTGAAACAAAGAACCTTACAACTATCAGGATGGTGTGACAGAGTGTTACCTGTCCCGTTCCCCAATGACATTCACCGGTCTGTCAGGTCTGCCATCGTACACTGAGTATGGCTCGGGTATCTGAACACGCAATCACTTCCAGTCCTTCCTATTTCTTTATCGATCTTCCTTATTGCTACACATTGCACCATCACCGATGTAATATAATATGAAAGGTATATTTATAACCGTAACGATTATTATATTATAATAATATTAACGATAATAATGAATGTTCTGTAAAATACATTACATGTCTCTATAAAAATAAAACCCCAATTATTATTAAAGGTGACTTCCTTCTCTTTATACGTGTTTACTGAGATATCATTATTGTCAGTTTTGTCTTGATATGTTGGTGAATTTGATTAAAGTGAAAACTATAATTGTTTTACAATTCTTATAGATGTATTTTTTAAAGTGATCAGGTCAGTCTCATCAATGAGTTTTAAAGGCCCATTATAAAGAAAATATTGTTTTCTTGGATCTCTACGGGGTTAATACCTGTAAAGATAATCATCAGTATTTTTTCTTTATGTCACAAGTCTTCATTTATATTTTTCTCCACATTTGCATACAGACCAAGCTGTCTTGCCAAACACAGTGACAGTTACAGGGGTTGGGACAAACCATTCAGCAGTGACGGGGGTTGCTTGCAGCTGTCAGCTTTTATTCCTGCGGTTTAAACCTTTTTTCCAAAAGAAAGAAAAACTGTTACTGCAACTGCTTAAGGCCTCATTCACACAGCTCAGAGTCGGCCCGTACAGATCCATATTGGGCCGTTCCCGGGAGATGCTGCGAGTGACTGTACGCAGTAGCCTGTTCTTCCCTATGGAAGGACGCGGCCGCACACATCCGTACGATGACCCGAGCTGCATACGAGTACGGACACCCGCGCGGACGTGCAATTCAGGTGAGCGTACGGCCGTGTCCTCCCATAGAGAAGAGCAGGCTGCTGCGTACAATCACACGCAGCATCTGTCCCTCCCGGGAACGGCCCCGTATGGCCATGCACGCCGCACGGATCTGTACGGGCCGACTCTAAGCTGTGTAAATGAGGCCTTAAGAAGAACTTGTCTTAACCCTTGTTGAGGAGCTACCCCCGCACTGCAAGGGATAACTGCTGTTTTTTGTCTAGGTGCTAAAAAAAAAGTTACACTCACTCGAACTTCGGGGCTGGCTTGCTCTTAGACCGGTTCTTCCAGACTCTCACCCCCTCCTTTGCAGCAGTCTAATGTCCCGTAAAGCATCACGTTAAGATGCTGCAGTGTAGGAGGAGAGCGGCTTTAGAGACCAGAGAAGCAGGGAGCCAGCTTAGCGGTTCGGGGGAGTATAACTTTTTAATAGGCAGTTAAACGCTTGCAGTGCATGGGTAGCCCCACTAAAAAAGTTTTACCCGGAGTTCTTCTTTAGAGCAACGCCGGTGTTTGCACACGCACACAGGAGTAAGTTCAGAAATTCTCCCTGTCCGGTGCCAGCATTTGCAGGCACACACAGTGCAGGGCTTTTTGAACTGCATCCTGTTTGCGTCCGAGCACGGACACCCGGACCTGAGCGGATGTGCAGTTTGGGTGTGCGTATGACAGCGTACAGCTACATCCTCCCATAGGGAAGAACAGGCTGCCACACGCAGCACCTGTCCTTCCCGGGAATGGCCCGATATAGGCGTGCACGCCGCACGGACGAGTACGTCCTGAGTTAACGCAGTCTGAATGAGGCCAAATGCTCTCCTCAGTCTGTGTTTTGTGCATGTTATTCTACACATCTACATCTTCTAGTCCATCAGGAATATGTTTAAAGAAGAACTATTGGGTCAGGGCTTTTCCCCATAGTTCTCCTTAGGGTAACGGGAGGACACAAACTAGCGTCCTCCCGTCACCCTAGGCTCAGTATATAGGGAGCTACAGCTCGCGGTATACTGAGATGCCGCAGCTGAAGCGGATCCCGACACTTATGTCTGGATCCGCCCAGCTGCGTGAGTAATAGCTGGCTTTGCCTATCTAGAGGCAGAGCCAGTGTACCCACCCCTCCCCCGTCCGTTCCGCCAGTCAGCGCTGGCGGATCGGAGCGGGGAGGGGGGAATCCAGCCCCTCCCCTGTCACAGCAGAGAGCCGTGACAGGATCGAGAGGTGAGTGAACGCCGGTATGTGTTCGCTCACCTCCCGATCTACTGAGCCGACCTGTGACAGTCTCATTGTCACAGGTCGGCTGGAACTATGAGGTGAGTGAAAAGCACTCACCTCATAGTTCTCCTTTAATGTCTAGTTGTAGTTTTTGCTATTTTACACACACATATAAATAGTCCATTCTGCAAGGTCCACCAGATCTTCCCTCATAGAGGATTATCATGTTTTCAAGCTAATTGTTTTATTTATTTATTTATTGCAGTAGACAACTCATTCTGTTGATGTGATTTTGATTCATTGTGTAACCATTTCCATTAACCATGAAGACTATGGGTGATGTTTTTAAATCCTTTGATTTAACCTATGGCAACATTTGTCTGTGCTTTGAGTCACATTTTCTAGTTACGGTTGGAAGGACCCGCACAGCAACGTAAATAATTTTAGTTCCTCAAGTATGGATCTGAAGAATCAAACCTTCAGGAGCTTCACTCTGCTTGGCCTTTCAGAGAAACCCCACCTTCGACTACCTCTCTTCTCCTTCTTCTTGGTAGCTTACGTTCTCTGTGTTTTGGGCAACAGTCTTATGATCATGCTCATCTTGACCCAATCTCAACTCCGTACCCCAATGTACATTTTGCTGGGGAACCTTTCTATTGTTGATATTTGCATGACCTCCATCACTATCCCCCGGGCCCTTTGTAGCCTCCTCACTGAGAACATGGCCATCTCATTTCATGGATGTTTTGCGCAGCTTTTTCTATTTCATGCAGTTGGTAATATGGACAGCTTTCTTCTGGCCATCATGGCCTTGGATCGCTATGCTGCTGTGTGTCAACCTTTGCGTTATGCAACCATCATGAGCAAGAGGACATGTGTTGGTTTATTGATTTCTTCGTGGGTTGTTGTTACTCTACATTCCACCCTGTTCACAGCCATGACATCTACTCTTCCGTACTGCAGTTGGGTTATCCATCACTACTTTTGTGATGTGCCAGCCATGTTGTTGCTCTCTTGTACAGACACATATCCCCAACAAATGACTGTCTTCATTGAGGGATCCTTAATTGTCATGGGTCCCATGCTGTTTATCCTGGGCTCCTACATCCTCATCATAAGAGACATTATGAAGCTGCAAACCTCCAAATGCCGGAGAGGAACCTTCTCCACTTGTTCCTCTCACTTAACTGTGGTCATCTTATTCTACAGTTCTGTCATATTCATGTACTTTCGCCCAAGTTCCCTCTACTCAGTAACCTACGATCAGGTCATCAGTGTGGTCTATAGTGTCATCACACCAATGTGCAATCCATTTATATATAGTCTAAGGAACAAGGAGGTCAAAGGAGCGGTGAAGAGGGTCACACAATGCTGCAGGGAGGAAAGTCTAAAATGGACTCAAGAAAAACAATTTGAAGACTAGATTTATAAAGGTCAAAGGTTTTCCCTCTGAATGTGTTTGTTAAGTCCACTCAACCTAAAAGATAACTGAATGAGTAGAATTAAAGCTGAAGTCCAGGAAGATAATATAAACATCAATAAATACAGTTATTTTACTTAAAAAATAATTGAAGATATTTTGAATGTTGTTAATATAAATACCTGGATTTTTCTTAAAGGAGAACTATGAGGCGGGTGCTTTTCACTCACCTCATAGTTCTAGCCGACCTGTGACAATGAGACTGTCACAGGTCGGCTCAGTAGATCGAGAAGTGAGCGAACAGATACCGGCGTTCGCTCACCTCTCGATCCTGTCACAGCTCTCTGCCGTGACAGGGGAGAGGCTGGATTCCCCCCCTCCCCGCTCTGATCCTTCAGCGCTGACTGGCGGATCGGACAGGGAAGGGGGCGGGTACAGCTGGCACTGCCTCTAGATAGGCAGAGCCAGCTGTCACTCACGCAGCTGGGCGGATCCCAACATAATTGTCGGGATCCGCTTCAGCTGCGGCGTCTCAGTATACCGCGAGCAGTAGCTCACGGTGTACTGTGGCGTCTCAGTATACCGCGAGCTGTAGCCCTAACCCCATAGTTCTCCTTTAATTTCAGACGCTTCTATCAACTTGTACAGCAATTTTTAGATCGGTAGAGGGAAGGGCTGCACTTGGGAAAGGAGAGAGTAGAGAGGTGACCTCATTAGACTGCTGCTATTCTTTTAGTGTTAGCTCACGGGGAAGTGACCTGTACTGCATTGTACTGCAGCAGACAAAAGTCAGGTCACCAGCTTAGGTCTGTTGTTTGGTTAAACAATGTAAATATCAAGACTAAAAGGAAAAAACTAAAAAGGAGATAAATATGTATCCTTTGGTTACTAAGACAGGGCAGGTTGCTGCCAAACCAGTTACTGGCAAGCCAGAAGTTTTTCCATCACAGCACAATACAAATTTCAAGCTGCAGAGATTGTAGCCCACATACATGATTTCTCTCACTTAGTCCTGATGAAGGGGGTGTTTTTTGTCCCCCAGAAACACATTGGCTATTGTCCCCTGACCCTAGCTGAATAAAGTTGTATATGGACTATTCTAATTGGTGTGGAGCTTCAATTCCTTCATCTGCTGTGTTTACTATTAAGCCAATGATACCGTGGAGACCCAGTGATAGCTGCCTATCACACATATTCACATTGCTTAATTACTATTGGATGATAAACACCAAAATAATAATTACACAGATCCAATGCTCTCTTTCCGCTTCTCAATTTCTGTAGAGGCCCGGATACCTACAGTATATGTACAAGAGTATGACTGCTGAAAGCCCTAAAAACATAAAACTGAGGACTAAAATGACTCCAAGGCATCTGATGGTGTAGACAAGGAGTAGGCAAAACCTGGCCCTCCAGCTGTGGTTCAACTACAAATCTCAGTAGGCATTGACTAAGCAAGACTCTGAAAGCCACAGGCATGACTCCCAGAGGCAGATGCATGACGAGAGTTATCATTTCACCACCGTTGCACTTGCAATGCCAGAGTTTGCCTATCCCTTGTGTAGACACCTTGAGATACAATCAAACCACTGAAACATCTTTTTTAAGATAGCCATGTACCATTTTACCAGCCAGATAGGGCAATAACCATGTTAGGTTTATTGGGAATGCACTGCTGAACTATGCTGGAGTGTCTTCTAATTTGGGATCCCCGGCTTTCCAACCAACGAGCCCGCAGTGGGGCCCAGTAATGTCACTGGTGCCAACTGGAAGTTGCCAGAAGCTGGGGTGAGGTGAGTATGTTTATCTCTGAAGCAGAAGATAAAACAATATGGAGGACATTTACATTAAATTTAATGTTGACTCAGTCTGAAACAGGGTTTTGGGATCTGCAATTCATTCAACTACACATGTAACACACCAAAGTTAACCCCTGATCATTCTAAACAGGTTAGTTGCAACCTCAATGAAGACAAAATAAATTCAGTGTGATTAAAGTGGAATTCCAGCTTCACGTTCCCCATCCTTCCTCCTCCCTGAATCCTCCATTTGATTTCTTTTTAAACCCTATAAATGCAATTTTTCCTGCAGTCTGGTCTGGTGATGACATGGTTCTTCCTGTTCTTCCTCGGTGCTGGCAGTAGAAGGATCTTCCTTCTGGACTAATAATGAGTATTTACTTGTAATGATATGTGAGCTCTGTTCAGTCCAGTAGACCCCAAGCTGTGTGATGGCGTCCCACCAGCGGGTGGATCCACGACAGCCTCGGAAAAGAGGACGTGGTTTGAATGATACTTTAATACAGAAGAAGACTAAGGCATCTATTGACGAAGAATAACTGGAGGGGGGGGGGGCTCCAGATTGAAGGCTGCTTTTTCATTTTAACAGCTGAAGGACAGCAAATTAAAAAAAGCCCATTTAGTAGCAATACACAAAAAAAACGATTTTGCCTCACTCCCTCACGTCATGGTTCTTCCTGTTCTTTCTCTGTGGTGGCAGTGGATGGTTCTTTCTTCTGGACTAATAATTAGTAATTATGTGTAATGACGAGTGAGCACTGTTCAGTCCAGTAGTGGTCTGACCCCAGTGTGTGTGATGATGTCCCACACAGGTCACAGTGCTCCCTCTGCACAGTGCTCCCTTCATCACATGAATTAACAAGGAGCCAGTTAATTCATGTGATGATAAGAAGCATGCTGAAAGGAAGACAAAGCAGAGTGACAGAAAGATGAGCTCATCACTGAGCTGCTTCTCCTTTCACCATCCAGTCACCGGCTGGGGGCGGGTCCATGACAGCCTGTGCACAGAGGAAGTGGTTAAATGATGCTACCCGTCAGACTGAAGACATTTAATGGCAGAAAAATAGTATTGCAATGTGGGGGGCATCTCTGGATTTGAGGTGAATATTGCTGCAAAAGCTTTCTTTTTAACATAACTTTTAACAAACTATATTAATCCTGTTATTTTTGGCTGGGGCTCTCTTTGAAGGTAAAGTTTACAATGTCAACAAAATACCTCCTTACTAAAAATACAAACTAGCTTCCCTTGAAATAGAACAGAAGACTAATTCCTCGGTCATCAAAAAAAATAATACTTTGTATTTGCAGTGAACCCGATGCTATGTGTCATGGTCTTCATACTTTGTGAATGATCCCTCGCCATGAACAATCTTAAACTTTCTTGGCTTATCTCCTTTATTCCCCGTACACCTAGAAAATATCACACTTATAATTTGTTAGTCTGGAAGACCTGCGATCCTCCTGGGTTGTTTCCTTTCTATTAAATCCTTCCGATTCCCACACTTGTGAAACAAAGAACCTTACAACTATCAGGATGGTGTGACAGAGTGTTACCTGTCCCGTTCCCCAATGACATTCACCGGTCTGTCAGGTCTGCCATCGTACACTGAGTATGGTTCGGGTATCTGAACACACAATCACTTCCAGTCCTTCCTATTTCTTTATCAATCTTCCTTATTGCTACAAATATCACCATCACCGATGTAATATAATATGAAAGGTACATTTATAACATTAACACTGCTCAGGTCTCTATAAAACATAATAACCCAAATATTATTAAAGGGGATTTCCTTGTTATTATAAGCGTTTGGTGAGATAGAACTATTGTCAGTTTTGTCATGTTTACTAATAAGGAACATTTATATATAAAATTATTATTATTTTTATTATTATCATTATTATTATTAAAGAGGATTTCCTAAGTTAACAGAAAAAAAATCCCCTATGTGCTCACTGTTTTGCTGATCTCCGGCATGTTTCATCCTGGAAATGATCGTGCGTCTATTTGTCTTAATTTGTTTTTGATGACTGCATTTCAATATTAATATGAAGTCAATACAGAGTTTATGTTACGCTATGGTATAGCATGGGGTATAGTATGAGGTATAGCATGGGGTATAGTATGAGGTATAGCATGGAGTATAGTATGGGGTATAGTATGGGGTATAGTTTGAGGTATAGTATGGGGTATAGTATGGGGTATAGCATGGGGTATAGTATGGGGTATAGCATGGGGTATAGCATGGGGTATAGCATGGGGTATAGCCAGGGCTGTCTTTAACACAGGGCAAAAGGGGCAGCTGCCCAGGGCCAAGTCATTGTTGTGGGGCCCAAAGCAGCTGCCCCTTGAGCAGGTCCTGTGCTGAAAAACTCCTACCACTGGCCCTTTATCTCAGCACTGACAGCAGAGCGCTTGGTGATTGCAGAGCGAGGGAGAGGAAGAGCTGGGTGGATGCCCTCCGTGCTGTTTGTATGTGTGTGCTACTGCCCAGGGCCAAGTCATTGTTGTGGGGCCCAAAGCAGCTGCCCCTTGAGCAGGTCCTGTGCTGAAAAACTCCTACCACTGGCCCTTTATCTCAGCACTGACAGCAGAGCGCTTGGTGATTGCAGAGCGAGGGAGAGGAAGAGCTGGGTGGATGCCCTCCGTGCTGTTTGTATGTGTGTGCTGGAGGAGGCAGCTCTGCTATGTCCTGGAGGGGGTGTAAAATGCACCTACACCTGTGTACACAAAAATCCTTGCACCGGCCCTGCCCTGCCTGTGAGCCCACAAAAGATACACTTGCACCGCTCTTCTGTTTACTGTGTGATCGGTATTGCATAGTGTTGCTCCGGCCCTGTCGTATAGGCATATGCATAGGCAAAATTGCATGGTGGGGG